TGCCCCATCCCTGGAAACATTCCAGGTCAGGTTGGAGGGGGCTCTGAGCAACCTGATCTAGTTGAAGATGTCCCTGCCCACGGCAGGGGGGCTGGACTAGATGACCTTTAGAGGGCCCTTCCAACCCAAACTATTTTATTCTGTTCTATTCTATGATCTGTTAGGTGAGTCTTTTAGATGTCCACTACTGTAAGTTAGATAAAATCTTAAAGCTAAATAACATCTAAATAACATCGTAAAAGATTCTTTTTTCCTTTTAATGGCCTCTGTATTTATTCAAATGGCTAGTAAATACTCCTTGAAAAAAAACCCCACAAGATCAAACAGGTCCTCCTCTAAGCTAAGAGATCAATGCAGGCAATCAGGGAGTGGTGGCAGAGGTAGTAAGACAAGCAAGAGTACAGGATCCAGCTTGTGAAGAAGAAATAAATGGGAGGTTCAGGTGGGGAAGGCTCGTGCTTTCAGAAGAAACCAAATACAATTTTAAAGATGATGCATAGTCCACAAAGAGACTTGATAATAGTCAATCTTAACACTGTTTATAAGAGAAAAGAAGATATGCAACAGAACTGTAGATTAGGATATGACAAAGCAGTATGGAAAACCAGAATATTTAAGGCTCTGCGGGATGCTAGAAAGGAGAATCCAAAGCCCCAACCAAAACTTTGTCAAGGAGAGGTGAAGAAGGCACCTTACAGAGAAGTCAGTTCATGTAAAAATGGCACTTCAATGTCGTCATGGTTTTAAGGCAAGTACAATGGAGAAACCAAGGAGAACTTTTCAATTTGTGTTAAGTCTAGACAGGAAGCCTTATTTCAGATACCAAGGCTGACTACTGACAACGAGGTGAACTAAGGTGTCCCAAAAGAAAGAGTACTCTGACACTGCCCCAAACAGATTTCTTCCTGGTTTAAAACAGAGAGCTAGCTTTTTAGATATATGCTTTAGTCTCTGAAGGAAACATTAGTTTTGTTTCACTGCTCACACATATTTTCTTCTAATTCTAAATGTATTTATACTATTTACAATAACAATTTAAGCTACTGTTGGAAGGAAAGTGTATTTCACACTGCTGCATGTCTCTTACTATACAAAACTGAACGTAATCATGCGATTTATCATACAAAGTTATTTCTAACTAGAATGAGCCAAAATTTCCCATTCAGGCTATATAGCTTACATGCCACATTTAAAACTAAAATTAAAAGGAAAAAAGACATATCTTACTCATTTCTTCCACACCAGAAACTGTACTTCAAAAGGGGGATGAGTTGGGTGATTTATTCTCACACAGTTGGTATTGTAGAAAACAGAAAGGTTTGTTTCACTTTTTTTTTTTCTCAAAGAGAACTCTTCACTAAAACCAGACTAAAAAGTTTCAGACCTTTTCCACAAAGTAATGAAAACCAGACTAAAAAGTTTCAGACCTTTTTAACAAAGTAATGGATACAAACCATCAATGCAAAAATGAGAAAGAGATGTTTAAATAGCAAAATATAATCCTGACTAAAAACCTGTGAAGTGTTTAATAAGAATAAATATGCAGTATAAAAGACTCAAAAGAAGTTGCACGAGGTGAAATTAGTTGGTCAGTAAATCATTACTTGTGGACAGAATTCTAGATAGTGTTGCTATTAAAAGAAGAATACGGTACAATAATAAATACTACTGCAAATCTTGGTTTAACAAACAACAACAAAAAAACCAAACATGTAGAAAACAGAATTGAGAGAAAAAGGGAAACTTGTCCCGTTTTTCTCACCTCGCAAAAACCACCTAAGTTCTGTTTCAAGACCCTGCATTTTAAGCATAGGATTTTTTTTCCAAAAAAAACCCACTGGATTGAGCATAAACAGTTTTAGCATAGGCAATACTTAACCATACTTTGCATTTCATTCACCAGCTGAAATGGGTATACTTCACCTGAAACTATTACAGTGATCCAACTTTGCTTCTAGTGATTTCTGCTGACTTATTTGATAGAATATGTCAACTTGTAACAACAAACATTTCTAAATACTTGTATGCGCTTGAGTTTTATCAGATTGAACGTATTTTTCCAACTAAGAAACTTCCCAGGTGAAGAATGATACTTACCTGCTCATTCATGCCATCATCTTTAAAAGAGTATTGTAAACAGTTTTTATTCTCTGTGTGAAATTCCTGATCTTCCTCAAAACTACTTGTATCTTCATCATCTGAGCTCATAGGGTCAGTGACTGCTTTGCAGTCTTGACCAAAACTCTGTGGTTTTTGGTAACTGTGCTCACTTGTGATGTATGTTTCTTCCATCTTCTGGGGTATACTGGGTGGCTCTTTATGGTTTTGACTGTGACACGTCCTTTCAGTTGGATTAACAGCATCCGGCAAAGTCACTAATTTTTTCTCTACCCCAACAGTTATTTGTTCTTGTTCTTTTCGCATCCCTGAATAAGCCCAGAGATGAAGGTCTGGGTGATGTTTATTTCTGCAATGAAGGGGAGGAAAAAAAGCAAGTTACAGAGAATACCACTTACAGCACTGAACTAATAAGCATCCACTTCTGCTAGATCACAGCTATTGATAAGCACAATTATCAAACATGTAAGTATTCCTAGGTCACTTACCAATTTAGGATAAATCCAGAACATCCCTTTAACACAAAATTGACTATAAAAAAAAAATCACCAATAACGCTAATATAACAGATCCGCTTGGGTGCTGAACATCTAACTCCCACTGAAGCTGAGGGTACTCTACATCTTGCACTTGAATTATTTAAACTATTACACAAGAAAGAACTTTAATGTGAGAGAATAATGCATATGGAATAATGGTAGTCTCCGCTACCTAAATGTATAAAGATGGAGAATAAACCCTGGACTGATACTTCCTTTAATATCCCAATCTTCAACTGCAGTCCATGCAGTATTTCAGTTACACCATATACATCTGCCAGTAGGTGATGTGTTGACACAATCTTTTTGGCATTAAGATGAGAGTAGTTTTCTTTCAAAAATGATAATCCACACATGTGTCCATTGTTTAGCCAGTCTTTATCATAAAGATATTTGGCACTCCACCTCTGACCTGGGGTAAGCAATAAACAAATTGATGCAGTCCATGCAGTATTTCAGTTACACCATATACATCTGCCAGTAGGTGATGTGTTGACACAATCTTTTTGGCATTAAGATGAGAGTAGTTTTCTTTCAAAAATGATAATCCACACATGTGTCCATTGTTTAGCCAGTCTTTATCATAAAGATATTTGGCACTCCACCTCTGACCTGGGGTAAGCAATAAACAAATTGAGCACCATCTAAAGCCACAGCAGAATTGTATTTAAAACTAGAGCGCTATAATTATATGCTGTATTCTCCTAAATGTCTTCTAACATCCATGAAAGATTGATTCAAGGTCTTGATATTAATATATTAAAATTTATTTTTCATGGATTAAGAGGAAAATCTTAACGCTTATGAAAACAGAAATAAACCTGAAATCTCAAGACCTCTCTAAATGGCATTTGAAATGAAAATCTAATCACCTTTGCAATCAAAGTACAGGATATTAAGAACTGTGCTATTATCAATCTAACTGCAAAAAAAAAGTTTAAATTGGCATTTTATTTATCTAACTACTGCAGCTTACTTTTAAAAAAAAGAAAACCTAAGTTACCAAGAGAAACGTCAGAGAGTGGATTTTATATGGACATATCCAAAACAACTAGTTTGTGTCTAAAAGACAAATATTTTGCTTCAATACTGTCAATATCTATTTATTAGAAGCCAGGAGAAGGCTTCATGAAAAGCAGGCATTTCAAAGTTATCTGACAGCAGAGTTCTTACACTCTTCTTTGAGGTGCCTTTTACCAGACACTACTAGACAGGATATTGATGTAAGTGGGCCTTAGGTCTCCCATGCTATGGCAACATCTACAATCTTAACCCAACAGGCATGAATGAGTATTTAGCTAATGCTTCTATAGTAACTTAATAACTATTTAAAACAAAAAAACACAAGAAAAAAAAAATCACAAAACTAGAAATGTATAATGCTAATTATTCCAATATTATTGTTTACAATGAGGAACCCAGACAAACAGACTGACTAAGACTGCAATATCTTACACTCGATTTCATATCAGACTATCATCATATACAGAACAAAGAATGGGTTGATGGAAGCCCTTCATACCTTTCAGGAGAATACCCTGTCTATCTCCTTTCTGCCCATTATCCCAATACACTTTAAAATACTGACATTGTGAATGACCTTTTTCTCCTGACATAGAAAGAAAAGAAGTAATGGTTAGGAAGGGAGAGAAGATAAAAATTAGGGACACAGTCTCTGCATAGCAGGGGATAACGAAGTACCTAGTACAGTGCAGGGAAAGAACACAAGACAAATTAGTTGGTTTTAATAAGAAAAAGCTTGACTGCTCAAAGAGTACACTACACAGAACTATCAAACAAGACTACTACCATCAATTTAGATTCAGATTGGGGCAAACAGAAAAAGTCACATCTTTCCAGCTCTATTTTCCTAAATTTTCTTCTCAAAAATAACTAATAAAAACTGTGCTATTTTATACCTCTGCAAACAGTTTTCAGATTTCATTTCTTAAATTCAGAATGAAAGTAAATTTGGGGGTGTAGTCTCATTGCCCTTTTGAAACAGCTGGACTGTTGGATATTTCACCAGAAGACAACTATGTGTATTTGTATCAATTGTCAGGAAAAATACTAAAAACTTTCTTCCAAATCGTATAGTTTTTCTCCAAATAACTGCTAAGAAAAATGGGTTTATGGACAGAATCATTTTTAAATCAACATCTTCCTAATCAGATGTATTCAATTTAAAAGTAAAGAGACTCTTCCCAATTCTTACCATTTCAAACTTATCCTAACAATCTTAAGTTCAAGATGTGCTGTTTGTGCACCATTGTTTACCATATCAAGTGCTAGATTTTTTTCATATTTTACATATTCAGTTCCACACCTTTATTTACACAAATCTGGACAAACGCAAACATTATAACATTGCAATTAATAGGAAATGACATTCACGGCATATTTGAGAGTACTGTGGTAATGAGTCCTTTTTCTCTAAAAAAATATTTAAATGAACAGATGTGATTCCAAGTATAGGCAAAACAGATCGCTGAACAAGAATGATTTGTTTAGAAAGGGTTTTCAGACTACAACGACATGAAAAAGTGCTAAGGTTTTGGGGGAATTAAGTTTCAACAACTAAAGTGATGGTAATTAAGATCATGAATAAGATTTAGCATAGCTGAACAAGATGTTACTAACAGGAAAGTAAGTTTCTGCTCAGAGCCAAACTTAGAATCACTTGCCCCAAAGAAGTATAACAGATAACACAAAACAGACAAAGCTTTAACAATTTAAGCAATGCATAACATCTCTGCTTAAAAATCCCAAGCAGACAGCTGCAGATAAAGGTGTTTTACCCGTACCTGGTGGATCTCTGCAGATATAACAGATGTACTGCTCTGGAATGCTGTCCTCTAACAGTCCCATGCATACGCTGTGCTGCCAACACAAGCACTCTTCACACTGACATCAGAAAAAAAAACAAAAGCAAAAACTAAAACTGAGATAAGTAGATTCAAAAATCAGAAGCTATTTCTTGTATCGTCAAAATGCAGAGAGCAGCAGTTTAACTTAAATAGCTGGTTTGAGTGAGATTATTTTAGTTGGGCAATTTGTGTTTGGGTAGGCAAAGACATCAAGCTAAAAAAGAGCTCTAGTTCTGAAAGTTACCTCAACCACAAATTCCAGACTGGGGGGAAAAAAAAAAAAAAGAAACTGAAGATGTAATATTTAATAATATTTTATTACAGCATTCAGTATTTTAGCACCTAAATATTTAGTAGTGAAACATAAGACAGGAGTATAATATTACAGTAAAGTAGAAAGATAATGTAATACATTACAGCATAAACAGTGGAAAGTAGAAAACTCTTCAGTTTAATTATTTATATTTACAAAGCATCTCTCCAGTGCGCTAGAAAGATGTGTTTTTAATATCGCACCAATGGAAAATCTAAAAGAAAAAGAAAATGAAGAGAAAATGAAAGAGGAGAAACACGAGAATAGGAGAGCAAAATAGAAGTGGTAAGACATGAGGGCCTAGAAACAGCAAACTGGTTGCTCTCAGTGAGACAAGGCATGAAGAGGAAAAATCAGGCTGTCATTGGACTTCAGAAACGGGCAGGAAACTACCACTTAGAAATACATTTCCCTTTCTCAACTCAGCGTTTGCTTGTGTTGTAAATATCTGCTGGTTTTCTACTGAAAGTCTCTCCTCTTTGCTTTGACATGCTTTTGAGCATCAACCTATTCAAAACACTGAAGTCACCTTCCCTCTTGTCATACCACTACGGCTACAATTTCATCTCCTCTCTCCAAAGATTTCTACACCAGTCCATTTTTCCACATTATTACCATAGCTGAACTCCTGCTTAGTTCCTCCAACACAGCACCGCATTTCTGTGTGTTCTCAGGGACAGTCTTTGTGTCCTTCACTTTCAGGTCTTTCTGTCATTTCCAAAAGACTTTAAGTCCATTAACACAAGGACAGCCATACTTGCTTCCTTCAAATCTCAACTAAAAAGGCTCCGTATTTTCAACAGAAACTGTACCACATTAATAGTTGAATACAAACCTGTTTTTTGAAAAAAAACCACAGGAAGTTCATGGCTTTTTTAAAGTTACTGACAACTGAGTTGCTCTTCACTGTTGCTTGCGTCTGATTTAATCACTGTATTATAAATTCCTTGAGACAAAGACTTTAAATTATTCATTACTAGATGGGAAATGCTCCCTTCATTGGACTACAAATAAATAAGCAGTAGTTGCAATCCATCAGCACCTGAATGCTATGCAGACACTGTATGCTCTTCTTTTTGGACATGAGGAAAAATTTCTTTACTGAAAGAGTGGTTAAACATTGGCACAGGCTGCCCAGGGAAGTGATTGAGTCCCCATCCCTGGAAGTATTTAAAAGACGTGTAGATGTGGCGCTTAGGGACATGGTTTAGTGGGCATGGTGGTGTTGGGTCGACAGTTGGACTCGATGATCTTAGAGGTCTTCTCCAACCTTAATGATTCTATGATTCTATGATTCTTCCCTTTTTTCTACACCAAGTAAGATTTAAATTCTTAGCAGTTTCTAAAACCAGCTAGTGATTTCTAGTTTGAGAACTGCTATTCTAAAGATGAAGCACGCACATCACACACACATCACAGCTACTGACAATATTAACGTCTGTATAGCAGAGATCTTGGATACAGCTGAGGTACATTTACAGTGAGCAGAGTGTTTTCTACAATTGGTACTGCAAAGCACAAGGGCCAAACCAGAAGGGCTGGTATAATCAGGACGGTCTGTGGACAGAAGCGATGATTCGTGTGCGGGAAAGGATACTTTATTCCAAATTTATCAACTGGCTATAAAGAAAAAGGTTACCTTTCTTTACAAATCTGTTCTACATATCAATTTGTTAGAGAAACCCCATCCTATAGTTCTGCATATATCAATTTGTTAGAGAAACCCCATCCTAGAGTAATAGTTCTGCACACACTGAACAGAATCACGCCAAGTGCAGAACGTAGCAATATCTTGTTATTATGCACTTCTATTTACAGCTCTCTATGTAACTTTGGTCTCCAACACATCAAAAGGGCACCTTCACAAGCAAGAAATTCACATAGAAAAATATATCCTCCCTCCCCAAATTTCTTTACCTGAATCATAAAGCCATTTTCTTCATCCAGTTCACAAATGCATCTAACAATTTCATTGAGAGCATCATCTTCATCCTGAGACTCTTCAAAGTTAGTTGAATCAAAGTCCTGATTGTATTCATCACCACTAAGTAACAAACTCTCTGTAGAGGAATCATCCAAGAACTCCACATCTGAAAGGTCTAGTAAAAATAAATACATGTGAAATTGTGTGTGCAGAGATGCAATACTTCACAGAAATATAGGGGGGTTTGGCAGTTAAAAATCTTAACCTGCATATAGCAGAAAATCGCTCTCAAATACACTGCTGGTATATTAGATTTCTTGATAAATTCTGCAAAATGCCTTTACTGTGATCTCCTCAGAAGCACAGTAGCAACACTTAACCAAAGCAAGTACAATGCAGAACAGCTTGAGGAGTGTAAGCATTTTGATTTAAATAGATGAAGTATAAATCAGTCACCATATTTATAGCTACAATCCCAAACACAAACCAGATTATTTCCTTTAAAATTCTCTTTCTTAAAGAATTAAACCTACAAACTGAAAGTTGCTGTTCAGCCAACCTACTTTCTCCACTAAGGTCAACAGACAAGATAGCTCTTGGATACTGGTATGATGTATTCTTCTCTGAGAACATGCTGCGCAAAGTCAGAGAGCTCCCCGAGGACCGTGTTAATGGAGAGGAGCACCTGTCCAAGAATTCAACAGAACTATCTTCATAATCTGAATAATCTGAAAAGTTAAAAGAAAGTAAGTTGCTGTTACAAAAGTAAAGAAAATTTTATTGAATAATCTGAAAAGTTAAAAGAAAGTAAATTGCTGTTACAAAAGTAAAGAAAATTTTGTGACAAATATGAAAAAAAAATATTTAAGTATACGGCAACATTATGTTCAGAAGTAAAGAATATCAACACTGAGGTATTAGGATGATGAAACTGTAAATATGAAATGGCAAACGCTCTTCACAACATATTTCACAAAAAAAATTCCAGCAAGAAATGTAATGAAGTTTAATAGCTAAGACAAGCATTACCCATTTAACTCCCCCCTTCCCCCATCTCTGAATGTACAGAGGAATAATTTTTCCTAGAACATTATACAGTCTTCTTTTTCCACAATTCATCCTGTACCATCTGCCAGCCTTAAAGATGCTGCTGGTAGCTCTCTCTTTTTGCCTTAGGTCCGTTTGTAGCATTACCAACATTGCTACCTAGAAGTAACTGCAGACTGTCCTGTCAGGTTAAGTGATAAAAGCTTGCCTTGCACACCTGCAGAGGAGCACAGGAAGCCCAAAGAAAACCCTCCTGGGATGCTCCCAGGCCCATCCCAGGAGTCATCATCCACTGATGGGCCGATGGCTCCTGGGATGGGCCCGGGAACATGTCAGTAGGGTATGCACAAGCCCAGAGGAGCATGATGAGCAGGTAAACAACACACATGCCCTGCCCAGGCCCCTCCCAGGGCTGTCCCAGCAGCGCCATCACCCCCATTATCCAGATCTGAAACCCATCACGATCTGTTACCCAGAACAGCTCTCTGGATCACCTTTTGGACTAAGGGGGGGTTGCAGCCCAGGGGTGGGGCACACTATGGGACATAGGGGAAAATCATTTTGGGATTACACAAGACTTATTATGGAATGTTTAGGGAAGGAACCAAAAGTGTGGAAAATGGATGGACCTAAGTGATTTGGGGAGGAGCAAGTGTGGGGAGAATAGAGGAATAAGGGGATAAAAAGGGCCAGTCATGCATAAACAGTTTGCTGGTCAGTACACTTGTCTGGCCATGCCCTGTGTCTGATCAGCACAGTCTGTCCTACCTGTGCTGGCAGAGGTGGTGGAGTCTCCCTCCTTGGAGATATTGATAGAATCATAGAATCATTAGGGTTGGAAAGTTGTAATTCAAAAGTTATCATTTTGGGATTACACAAGACTTATTATGGAATGTTTAGGGAAGGAACCAGGAAAATGGAAAATGGATGGACCTAAGTGATTTGGGGAGGAGCAAGTGAATAGAGGAATAAGGGGATAAAAAGGGCCAGTCATGCATAAACAGTTTGCTGGTCAGTACACTTGTCTGGCCATGCCCTGTGTCTGATCAGCACAGTCTGTCCTACCTGTGCTGGCAGAGGTGGTGGAGTCTCCCTCCTTGGAGATATTGATAGAATCATAGAATCATTAGGGTTGGAAAGTTGTAATTCAAAAGTTGTCTGGACATCGTCCTGGGCAACTGGCTCTAGATCACCCTGCTTGGGCAGGAGGGTTGGACCAGAGGACCTCCAGAAGTCCCTTCCAACCTCAACCATTCTGTGATTCTTATGAAACCCCATTTCTAACTCTTACCCAGGTGAAAGGCTCTCTATTCAGTGTGCAGGTGTGTGTACAAGGGTCTGAATGACAGCAAATGGAGCCAGACCACAGGTTGAAGGGCCCATGCATCTGTGGTGCCAGCACCCGGAGAGACTGGATGAGTGACTGAAGTGCCAGCCACTCACGACGGATCTCCGGTCACAGAGGCCCACGAGTTCATGCTGCAGCACCTGGAGCCAGTGCAAGTGTCTGATTGTTAGCAGAGATCAAGCTGGACCAGCTGGTGAGCAGGTGAAGTGGCCTGGGAGCAAGGGGTGAGTGGGTCTGCAAGGGCCAGCTCTGGGTGTGAGTGCCTCTCTAAGGCTACGGGAATCTGGGGAGTCCTGGCCAACTCTGGGAGCGTGCAAGCATGCACATAGGAGTGAGATAGGCTGTACTGCAGTGGGGCTGTGGCCCCGGGGGCTCATATCTCCAGGTACCAGCAACTGGGGAGACTGGGATACAGAGGCAGCTACTGGGCAGACAGTGTCTGAGCCCAGCTGCTGGAGGGTTCCACGCTGTACACACACACACACACATATATATATGTATTTTCTCACTAGTGGGCCCCCCTTCCTGCTCAGCCTGAGAGGGGAGCAGGATGAGGCTGTTAGAGCACTCAGTGCTCTTCTGCCTACTGGTAATACAGCAGTATTGACATTTATATTGATACCAGCATGATACATTTTCCTCTAACATATACTATTTGCAACAGTCTCAAGGAACACATTTGCAAGCCAAGGAGGGGACATCCACAACTTCTCTGGGCCTTGTGTTCCAGCGTCTCGCCACCCTCACAGTAAAGAATTTCTTCCTAATATCTAAACTGAAAGAGAGTAGATTTAGATTAAAACTGTTACCCCTCATCCTATTACTACACTCCCTGATAAAGAGTCCCTCCCCATCCTTCCTTTAAGCCCCCTTTAAGTACTGGAAGGCAGCTATAAGGTCTCCCTGGAGCCTTCTCTTTTCTAGGCTAAACAACCTCTCAGCCTGTCCTCACAGGGGAGGTGCTCCAGCACCCTGACATCTTCGTGGCCTTTCTCTAGATCTGCTTGAGTAGGTCCATGTCTTTCTTACACTGGTCAAATGGTAATTGAGAGTAGCTATCCATTTACTCCTCTTAAAACTTATTACTTCAAATATAAGTAATCAGATTTCTACACTTTCATCCTTCTGTAGGAAGCATTCCTGCTACCACCTGTATCTACAGTTTTCTTGCAATGGGTTCCATAATATGCTTCTCTCCTAAATACCTTCCATAAAGCCACTGTTTATATTTACTTTCTCCTTCTGTCAAAAACACACTATCTACACATTTCCTAAGTATATTCACTGTAGGGGGGTCAATTCAATGAGTAGTTGAGTTGATTACTTCACGTTGTATTGCTTTCAACCTCACTGTAACAGAACAGTATAAATAACAGACATTTTCTGTGTTATATGGGTTTTATACAAACAGTCAATCATGCATATATTCAGAGCACAAAAAAAAGTTTTGCTGGGTTTTTTTTGTTTGTTTTAAAGCCTTGCACAAAACTTATCTGGAGCACACAATGTGCCCACTCCTTCTTCTCCCCCAAGATGCCTCAATTTGATTCCAAAGGAACAGAGCATGCCTCACACCCTTCCATTTCTGCCCATGCCCTGAAAGTAGAGTGAGCTAGTTCTGGAGAAAGAGAAGACTGCTTCTTTTGACAGATCATTTTTCAATGGGCTTTTTCAGGGTCAGACACTGCAGTCAGAATCTGCCAAAGCATTCTTCCTTTTTTCGTCAGTTAAAAAAAAAAAAATCCAGGCAGAATACCTCTGGATTTCTAGAAACAGATTTTCACAAGATGAATTTGCAAAGAATAAAATGCTCAAGTTTTACTCACACTGCTTTCTGAATCTGGATTTAAGATTTCTATTTCCTGTATGTTAGGGAGTGTTTCAATTGTATAGAGCTCAACGATTGTGATGATGATACGGTCGAGTGTTTATGGGTAAGGATAAGGGGAAGGCCAACAAGGCAGATATCCTTCTGGGAGTCTGTTATAGACCACCCAACCAGGATGAAGAGGCGGATGAAGC